GAAGGGTCTAGGCCCGAAACGTCAGCCTTCCTGCTCCTCTGATGCTGCTTGGCCTGCTGTGTTCATCCAGCTCTACACCTTGTTATCTCAAGTAAACTATTTTCATTGGATTTGACAGACAGGTCTAGTTGTAGCAATGAAATATTTAAGCTCATTTACTTATTATTTTGCACTCGAATATTTCTTTTACCGAAGTATCTGTTTGGTCTCAGATGTAATTTTAAATGTGTGTCATAATATTACCTGGGGCTTGATTTGTATTACTGTTACTTCTGAATCAGAATGTTGTGGGTTCAAGGCACACTCCAGAAGCATTAGCACAAGACTACTAGCTGTGATCTAGTACATGGCTAACGGGGATTTGCTGTCGACATTGCTGACTTTTGGATGAAATGTTAAATCATGGCCCTTTTAAGTCGCTATAAAAAATTTTCTGCCAATACTTCAAAGAAGGGCAAGGGATCTATTTCTCAATGTCTTGGTTAATTTTGCAGTCTTTGTATGGAACTTAACAAAATCCTGTACGGAACTCTGCTCAGTGGGAAGTTCATTTTAATATTGGAATGTAGAGGCTGAACTATCTGCCTTCTAACAACATGGAAACAGAGTTCCTAAATTTCATAAGAGTGGATTTTAACATTGCAGCTTTGTACTGGTTCATAGTGTACTTGAGAACTTAGTGTGAGACTGCATTAGCACAATACTTAAAGATTTTTTATTGCTTTCAAACCATCAAAGGTCGCTAGATACTGAGTACAAGTAGGAGGCCATTTCAACACAGCATCCATTGGGATTCTGAAGTCAATGTAGCACATCGAGCACCCCTCCAAATGAAGTTAACTTACCGCAATACAGATTGAAGCTGGTCTTTCTATCTCAAGCATGATCTGTATTTGGCCATTGAAACACTGGACTACTGATTTGAGTCTCTTTTGAGCCTAAAGTCACGGGTTTAATGTATAACTGTCCTACTTGCCAAAATCTGAGTGCTAAACCCCTGTCCCCGAAACCATAAACTTCACACCTACCACTTTGAATAGTCTTTCAATGGTCTGCCCTAATGTCTCCTTCTATGCAGTGGTGTTGAGTTTTGGTTTGATGAAGCTTCAGTGAAGCACCTTGTGATATTTTATTACATTAAAGCTGCTTTATAAATACAGGCTCATGTTCCCTACTGCTACTGATAGTAAAATGTTCTAAGATGTAATACAAATATTTCTCCTTTCTCTTGCGTAGCATAATTCAGTCAATCCCCATGCCAAATGTACAACATTTAATTTCAGATCACTTTGAAATTTTAGAACTTACCAGTGTTCTAAGTGTTTGCCACATTGTGTAGGTTGTGTATATCAACAATGTAGGTATCTTATATATTTTAGTCATTCGTCAGAAAGATTACATTGTAGTAGTGTAATAACTGTTTTAGAATTTTAAGACAATTTTTTCAGTCTTTTTAAATATATACTACAGATAAAATTTCTACGAAAAATGCAGCAGCTCCCAAAGGTGAATGCAAGAAGGAATATGCAAAAGAATCAGACTCTGCCAATCAACTGAAGACACCCTGCAGCTCTTCTACTCCGAATAGATTTCTTTCCTGGGACTTTGCTGTATGTGGACAGGATGATTTGAGTTTTGCAGAGGATGACCTTTGGTACAGTTTGAATGGTTTTCTTCAGGAACCCAGTGTGAGAGTTCCACATTTGCAAAGTAAAGGCATAGTTTTATCTCGTTACAACTATGAAAAAATTGTGAGGCTCCTTGCTGCTGAATTATGGAATCAGAACCAGGAAAAAGTGAACGTTGTAGAATTGCCTATTGATGATATTCCACCCGTGTTGAGACGAGTACCTGAGAGACAGCGCACTATTGGTATGGTATTTTGACATTTTGGGAAAATTACAACTAAAATTCTGGGAATATTTTACTTGCAAACAAAGAGTTGTTTCTAATTACAAAGGAAATGGAGTTTTAAGGAATTTTGAAAGGAGACTTTCCTGATTAGCCAATGGAAAAATGTACTTGGAAGTGGGATATGTAAAGTATCCTTGTGTTGGAGAAATGAATTGGGTGGGGGAGGTTCCGAATTTGTCAGATTCTTACTTCTCAGTACCAGACGACGATCCCTCCTGGAAATGCACATATGCAGAGATGAGATAAAAGTGGAAAATTCTAACCTGCTATGTGTTCTGCAGTGAAATTGTGCAACAAAACAGATTTTTGAAGATTCACACTTGAAGTGTGGCTGCTAATTACAGGTACCCAAGAGAAGATTTTGCATCTTTTGGATAGGAAAAGGAGGCACCTAAATCGGGGAAAGGTGCTAATTTTTGAGGACCCCTCCCCCAACACAGTCCTCATCACAAATGGTAAGGTCTGATGAACTCCAGGTATTGGGCCTCATTATACTATTAATAGCATATTGGTGAAGGCTGTATAGATAAATACTGCAACTGTGGGCAGACTCCATTGTCGTGTCTCTTCAGTAAGTGGCAGATTTGGACTTGTTGTGGTAGGGGCAACAAATAGGAGCATTTCTAGTCTCTATGTTGGGCTTGGGAGAGCTGCTTTACAAATTGGGGGATCCTGGCATTGGAAATGAAGATACAGATCATGATAAATATATACTTTCTTTAAAAAGTACACAATATTTAGCTTTGCTTTTCCTTACTGAGCAGATTGCCTTGTTTGAACCTATTTTATTAATCAACATGTTAGGAGATGTTATTACACATCTCTGGAGCTGATGGGACTTGAACCTGGGTCTTCCGGTCCAGGGGGTAGGGATGCTACCACTGCACCACAAGAGGACCTTTGCCTTGGTTCAAACCAATGCAGCAGAAACAGGCTTGAAACAGTTTTGTTTTAATTGACTGATGGGATGAGGCAGTAACTAGTCAGGCCAGTATTTCTCACCTATTCCCTCAGTCCCCTTGAGAAAATGGTGATAATCTGCCTTCTTGAAAATGACCGAGTGGCTAGCTGGGCTTTTTCAGAGTGCAGTTAGGAATCTATCACATTGCTGTGGGTCTGGAGTTATGTATAGACTGGACCAGCTGAGGATGGCAGATTCCTTTCCCTAAAGGACATCATATTGTAAAGAATCTGACAGGTCTTACCTGCCATTATAGAACCCAACGATACTGTTTAGCATGTGAAAAACAGGCATAATTTGAATTCTCTTTCTGATCAGGCTCCTAACATAGACACCTAATGCCAGCCTTACAGGGAATGACCAGGTGCCATCAATGGGTTTGGGATCCAATTCAAATCAAAGGACTTGAAAGCCTTTGTCATGACAAATGATTATAGACTGTCAGAACTGATAGTTTTGGGCTTGGGCCCATAGCAGAAAATCCCAGTAAATCAGGAGCAAAATAATATTCAATTGCTACATTGCCTCAGAGAGGCTGTAAAAATAATTTGTACCGGAAATTGCAGTTGAAATGCTTAACAAAATCATACCTGGCCTTGTAATGTGGGATGCAATTTTTGTTAATGGGATTCTTGGAAAAGAAGCATTCTTCCTCTTTTTTGTTAGAAGAACAGTACCTCAGAGAATAACAGTCCCAGAGATATTAAGAGTTCCATGTTGGAACTCTGATTTGTTGGACTGTGATTTGTTTAAGAATAGCAATTTTGTAGGCTAATATTAATTCACCTTCCCATAATTCCTGTCAGTAAAAGTTTAACACACGGAGCCCATTTTATCTCCTAAGTGCTTAAACAACAGTGAAAGACTAATTTGTATTAATTCCTTCCATTTTATACAGGCTGTAGTGCAGGGTAGTATCCCTACCTCGACGCAAACAGATCCAGGTTTCCAGCTTTCTCCAGAGTGTGTAATAACATTGCTGGATAGGTTGGTTAGAAAATATCTATACAAGTACTGGAGAACGCTCCTGAATTTTACTAATGAGGTAAATATGGAAGGTGGACTGAAAAAAATCCTTTATTGACAGACATTACTTTAAACTAATCCCTGATGTAACTTAACATAATATGAATGGAATGCAGTTGTCACTGTGAAAGCTGTCAATATCCCATGTTCCTCAATTATGAAAAATTCTTGAGGTGCCATATTGCTCTCGATGTAAATTTAGGCCAGTTTTTTTCAAGTTGAGCTAAGCCAAAGCTAGTCAGTTATGTTTTCTGTTGCTAGCTATGACTCAACTGCTGTGACAAAAACAAGTTGCTGGAAAAGCTCAGCAGGTTTGGCAGATCTATAAGGAAAAAATTCAGAGTTAACGTTTCGGGTCCGGTGACCCTTCCTCAGAACTGAGGACATTACTTTATCAGTTCTGAGGAAGGGTCACTGGACCTGAATCGTTAACTCTGACCTTTTTTCTTCACAGATCCTGCCAGACCTGCTGATCTTTTCCAGCAACTTCTGTTTTCATTCCTGATTTACAGCATCCGCAGCTCTTTCAGTTTTTACTCAACTGCTCTGTCTGGGGGGTGAACTATTTTCCCTTTAAGTCTGTGGCTAACAGGGGAACAGGATTTGTTTACTGGAGTAGGTAAGTAAGATCACCATGAAAATCGAACACATCCCTTTTGATCCAAGGCGCATGTTTACCCCAGTCAAAATACTGTACAAACAGAAGCAAACATTATCTGGTTACAGAGGTGTCACTAGAAAGCCAACACTAGTATGAAATACCTGGGATCGTATATGACCTCTCCAACCTTTGTTTACTGAATGAAGTTGCACTTTAAACATAAAAATGTGCCACTCATGTCCCAAGAGCAAAGTTTCAAAAACATGGACTTGTCACAGCCCTAAGCTGTTCCGTACAGAACTTCTGTACATACTTTGTTATTATCAGAAGAAGATCCACTACAATCTTCTTGGGGTGAAAATAACGTTGGGGAATAAATACTGGCTTTCCCAGTGATCCCCTCATACTAACCACGAAATATAACAAATTTGCCAGAACAAATAATTTCACCAATGAACTTCTACATTTGTGAATCAACAATTTGTATTAGCTTGTACTAATAATTGGGAATTTTATCGTTACAGAAATGATTGCTGCTGCTAGGCACTTAGAAAATGACCTAAAACGTGGTATCAGGCCAGAACTGCCTGGCTATCCAGGTAATAAAAATATAGAAAAAAAATGAAAGAATAAACCCCAATGGAATGTAAAAAACACACTAATCAAACGTTTGACGTGATACTCAGCAATGGATTTGAAAGATCATCATACTCTGTTCAGTGTAATATTACAGAACATTTAATACAAAAGTACATCAGCTACCACAAAATTAATGTTTGAATATAGAAATTTCATGTTACAATTCATCATAAGTGCATGTTGGATAACATTTCTATTTAAAATGTCTTATTGCACAATTTATTGTTTCAATTAAATAATTTGAAGAAGGCATGTAAATAAAGTGACCTTCTGTCTTCATTTGCCAGTTGTGATTTCTCAAAGTCCATTACTTAGTTAATCATAAAAATTCGCAATTTATTAGAGACACTTTCACCATCTCTGGTAAATTGTGTCACAAAAGATCCAGTGATAGAAACATAAAATCATTTGTTGAATGCTAATACGTATCTGGAGGTATGAACTTAACTTGGAGGGTTGAAAGTTGAATGTAACAGCCTCAAAATCCTCTCTATTTGAGCATTCCTGAGTTTAATTGCCTTACTATCGGTGGTCATGTTTCAGCTTCCTAAGCCTTCAGATCTGTAATATCCTTCCTACGTCTAGCTGGCTCTCTACCTGTTTTCCTCCTTTAAGACAAACCTTAAAGCCTACATCACAATCAGCTTTTGGTTATCTGCCCTAATATCTCCTAACGTGGCATGGTGTCAAATTTCAGTTGCTCGTGTGAAGCATATGGTGAAACTTTATTTTACATAAAAGGCTCAATATTAATGCAATTAATTATTTTTATTGTCACCTTCACTAAACCCTACAGTTCAGTGTTGATAGGATTAATACTTATAGAGTCATAGACCCATACAGCATGCAAACAGACCCTTTGGTCCAACCATAATCCCAAACTAAACTAGCCTCAGCCTGCCTGCACTTGGCCCATGTTCCTGCAAACATTTCTTATTCATGTACTTATCTAAATGTCTTTTAAACATTGTGACTGTACCCGCATCCACCACTACCTCTGGAAGTTCATTACACACGCAAACCACTCTCTGTGTAAAAAGAATTGCTCCTCATGTCTTTTCTGACTTCAGGTGCAGGCCCAAATACTGAAGGAGATAAAGAAATTGTTGAATCTTCAGACAGTGAATCCCTAGAATCAGAGGAAAAACCAGAAGGAAATGTAAACCCGTATGCTCTTCTTGTTCTAAGAACCCTAGCAATCAGAAAAGATTCTTTAAACCTCAGGGTAAGTCACTGAATGATCTGCTCACTTAAAATGTAGTCATTTTCAGATACCAACAGTCTGACATAGTCATGCAATGTACCCAGACTTTGGGTACATTCTGTCCCACCAGCAAGGCACACCCACCTCACCAATTGGGAAGGAGTTTCCCTGGGGGTTCTCAGCATTGACTCCAGACTGCATGAAATCTCATGGCATCAGGTTAAACATGAGCAAGGAAGTGTCCTACCAATTACGACCACCAGCACCCTCTGTCCTTGGCTGCTAATCAGTACTCCGCCATGTTGAACATCACTTGGAGGATGTTGTGAGGGTGGCAAGGGCTTAAGATGGACTCTGGGTGCAGGATTTCAATGTCCGTCGCCAAAAGTGGCTTTATAGCATCACTACTGACTGAGCTGGCCAAGTCCTAAAGAGCATAGCAGCTCAACTGAGTCTGTGCCATGTTGTAAGGGAACTAACAAAAGATAATTTTTTGTTTTAAGTTCATTTATGGGATATGTATGTCACTGGCTAGGCCAGCATCTATTGTCAATCCTTAATTGCACAAAGGGCAGTTTAGCGTCCATCGCAGTACTGTGGATTTGGAGCCACTTATAGGCCAAACCAGATAAAGGTGGCAGAATTCCTTCCCTAAAGGAGGGGAAGGACATTAGCGAACCAGATGGGTTTTTACAACATTTGACAGTAGTTACATGATCACTGTTAGACTAACCTTTTAAAAAAGAACCATATTTAAATTTCATCATCTGCCATGGTGGGGATCAAGCTCATGCCCTTGAAATATTAGTCTACAGCTCTGGATTACTAGTCTAGTGATATGACCACCACACTACCACCTCCCCACTAACCTACTTGATCTTGTCCTCACCAATCTACTTGTTGCACAGTTCTTGTGAAGACAAAGTTTTATCTTTATATTGAGGATACCCTCCATTGTGTTGAGTGCTACTAAATCCCCTACCCCAATCACCAGCAGTTTAATCAGCTACAATCTGTAATCTCATGACCTGGTATATCCACATTCTGCCATTAACATCAGGCCAAGACACCAACCCTGATTCAATGAAGAGTGCAGGAAAGCAAACCAGGACCAGTTCCGGGCGTTCTTAAAAATGAGCTGTCAAGCTTCAGAAGCTTCAACATCGGACTGTTTGCATGCCAAACAGCAGAAGCAGCATGAAATAGACAGGGCAAAGTGATTATACAACCAAGGGATTTACTTTATTTACTCTACTTTACTAAATGACAGTCAATCTGACAAAATTACAAACAACATTACTCCTAACTTGTATTTAGTTTGCTTTTGATTTTCCTTTAGAGGTAATTCCCCTTTTTCCTTTGTTTGGGCTCACAAAGATTTTCTCCTAATCTGACCTCTCAATTCTCTTTAAAAACAAATCAAGTACCAAATCTCTGTGACCTAGAACAGGTTGAGTTCATAACATCTATTATATTTTTCTACATAATTTCATTGTAGTTGAAACTCAGTTCTTTTACATCCCTTGACGGTTCAATGTTTCGTTGGGTTTCATACATATCCAAACTGTTTTGAAAATTTTCAGTTTTTTGTTATTGCAATTGCACAAGTTTGCAGCTAATACTTGGGGCATAATTAACTACATTGAACTGTATGAATATCAATGCAGTGTTTCTTCATGTCATCATTATTTTGTTCCCTAGGTCCCTGAAGAACATTGGAGGTGCAGCCAATTCATCAATGCCCTTTATAAACAATTTTAATAACTATCAAAGTCTGTCAAAGCATCTTGAGTATTTTTGAAACATATAGCATTTCTATAATTTCAATTTCAGTTTTAATTCTTAATGAATTAACATAATGACAAAAGATAGAGGTATTTTTCAGGTTTTGAAGAATATGATTATCGACTTGTTTAATATCATCACTATATTGTAGGGTCATTTTCTTCACCAACTTCCTGATCTGACTGCACTTGTTTCCATATTAAAGTATCTGAACCTGTCATTCAACACTTTACAGGACATTCCTGTGGAGGTGAGAGCAATTTATTAAAATTGGATTTGTATTATTATTTTACTTAGATGAGTTATGTGATCATGTGAAAGCCTAAACTTTAGCAGTCCTACGGTGACACCTCTCATAGCCAACTGCCATAATTAAATTAATGATTGGCATCTGATCACCAAGAATGTTGGAGAACAAATGTAGAGCGTATTGTGACATACCCCTAATTACACAATCAATGGATTAGTTTGAGACTAGGCTACTTTTTACCAAATTAAGATTTAGTGGCATCTGCTATATTAAATATTCTCTATCCTCACAGCCCTGGAGCAAATAAACTAACATGTAAAGTAGTTTCTAGTGAGTAGAACTGAAAACACAGACAATGTCACTTAGCTCGTCAATGATCTTTCTTTATTGTTTTTTCCATAATGCTGGTGCATTAACTGAGAAATTGCATTGCCTGTATAGAAGATGGTTTGAGATATTTTTATTACTTGAAGTTAACTGCTACGTAGAAGATTTAGAAGTGAAATAACTGCACAGAGGCCAGTATCCCATCACCAAGGCACGCTTTATTTACATGTACACTCGCTGTGACCAGCCAGCTCGGTGTTGGTCGCTGAAGTCAGGAAACTTTCTGAATCCCCTGTTTATATCTGTCAGCCAGGGCTCCTTGATTGACCCAGGCTAATAACCAGAATCAAGAATCTCATAGTTAATAAGTTCCACCTGGTTCCAGTCACTACAAGAAGGTAAGAAATTAATTAGTTTCACATTATAAATGCCACAGTACCTTTGGCATCACAACAAGCCACAGGTTAGTACCTTTATGAAAAAATTAGACTATCCATCTCTTTTTCAAATTCTTTGGTCAGATTTGGTCTCTCATCTAAGGACAAAAGTATGTTTTTCCATTTGCACATCGATGAAACTGACCTTTGTTTTCTAATTATTTTTGTCTGGATTTATTTTTGGCAGTGTATGAGAAATGTTGGGGAATTACGTAATTGAAGTAAAAATTATTTAGCATGGAAAACAAAATATTTGGCCATAGAATACTTGTATTCTTGTGTACTTTTTTATTGCTTTATCTCTCTATATCTCTTTATATTAAATTTCTCGAGTCTCAATTTGGCTATTCATACTTGTTCTTCCCAACATTTGAATTTTTAAGTTTTATAGGCCAACTACCAATAGTCAGAAATGTTAATATGTTACTAGCAACTATTAAACGGTACTTTAAAAACAATTTAAGTGAATGAATATGTTTTCATATTAACTGTTCTTTTCCCTTAAGATTTATAGATTCTCCCACCTTGAAGTGCTAAATTTACGAGATAATCCTATAGGGGAGATTTCTTCTGATATTGCAAAACTGACGAACCTGAGAATCTTTAATATTTCTTTCTGCCAGATTTCTGCCCTGCCTGATGGGTAAGGTGTTTCAAATGTCTTCTACAGCCTAATAGCAATTTTTCAGAGTAAGTCTTGACACAGATATTGTAAAAGAAAAAGAATTATGAACTTGTTTGCTATCATAAAGGGATGTGAGCTGTAAGGTCATGTTGGGAAACTGTGGGATCCCGATTATTTTATCTCCGCAATGCAGCAAACAACTTCCAGTAAAAACTGAAAGAACTGTGGATGCTGTAAATCAGAAACAGTTCTGGGTAAGGGTCACTGGACCCAAAATGTTAACTCTGATTTCTCTCCACAGATGCTGCCAGACCTGCTGAGCTTTTCCAGCAATTTCAGTTTCTATAAACAAATTTCCTGTCCCTCAGATTACTTTTTATTTAAAAGTAAAATTTAATTAAAAGTCTCCTGTTCCAATTATTTACCAGTAGTTGTTTAGTGATACAGAATTTGAGTGTTGCTGGAAAAATTTTATCAAGACTTCTCATTTTGCACTCATTGGGATAATTCACAAGAATGTACTAATATAAATGGAAAACAACATCTACACTGTATGAAAGGACAGTGCTGATTGAATTATCCATCAATACTGAAAACTGTATTTTATTCTTCTTACATTGTCCCCCAAATATTTCTGTTTCTATTATTTACACTATTATTTACAATATTATTAAATAATTTATTAAAAATATCCTTTTCTATCTTACTTTCCATGTTCAGTATGTAGTCCTTCTCAGTGTTTCAGGCATTGTGCCATACTAGCAAGCTCTTAATAACCATTGAATCTCTCAAGGATCTGCTAATTGCTGTGATTGTGATTTGACTGATTTGGATACCGTGAGGTAGATTAATCAGGAGTGCGTTGGGAATTATTTGAAAATCCAACACCCCCAGCTAAAAAATCTGTCAGCACTGCACCAACCATAAACCTGGCTGCTCTGCAGTGATAATATATGGATATAATAAGCTTTAATTGAATCAGAATGAGACTTCTACCCCCATCTGGGAGGAGATTCTGCGCTATAGATCTGGTTGGACAGCTATTTTGCAGTTGTAGTTACATTTCCAAATTTTCTAATATTTCAACTTCTATTTGCATTCTCTACATTAGTTTTGAACAGAAGTTCGATTCCCTCATGGGATTTTCACCCTTACCATGCTTAAATTACTTCTGACATGTGATGCAGTAAGTATCTGTCTGAGGGTAAATTAGCTCACCAATTTATTTAGTTTTATTCCACATTGACAAATGTGTATCAAAGCAGGATAACTGATTCCAAGGTAATCTCACATGCACTGTATAATTAAGATTGGAGGAGCTGATGCAGAAGATGTCGTTTCTTATTGTATTGCCTCTGCTTTAAATACTTTGCATACCACTGCCCTTTGCTAAGTATGATAACCCATATTTTGTCATTTCACTACTGTCATTGTAACCATGAAACAAATCACTAATCCATATTATCATTGATAGAAGATGAGATTCAATCATTTTTTAAGATATAAATGTTATTTACAACTTGAGTGAGTCATCTAAAAAGAAAACCTTTCTTGGAATCTTTTTCTTTTGCCAGTCAAAATCTTACTTTCTCACTCTTGTCCTATTATTGTTCTTGATCAATCTTTCTTTAGCCTTTTAATATGGTGATCTGCTCGAATTGTCTTATTGCAGATCATTTCACCCTCTAAGTTCAAAATAATATCATACATGGACTTAAAATTCATGTGTATCAATCTTGATGATACTCTTTACTACTCCTATTCCTTTTGTCAAATCCAAATTCTCCTTTTTTCTTGAATTTTGCTCACTTTAGCAGGTATCAATATGTTTAACTCTATCCTAATTGTTTTAAGGTCTGTTTCTCTAAGGAGTAAGTGTCAATGCTTTGATGATTTTACTGGCCATGTTAACTATTTCACGCCATGCTGTTTTTCAAGTCATTGCAAAGATTTAAAACTCATTCTTCAGTGCAATATTTCCTATCCTTTGAACCAGTCTGATTTTAATTGGTTGCCAGCATTTTCTTGTACTCAAGACATGATATCCAATCTTATGCCACTCATTATTAATTCTCATGTGATCCTAACAAAAGTAGTGGGAAGATTTTACTCATTCTTCCATGTCTGGTCCTGGATGGTGGCCTGGAACTGTCAACTTCAGTTCCATTAAAAACAATCAAATACATAATCATTATCAAGAGAAAACTACCAATTTACTATTGCTATCTATAATACCAAATTGACATTCTACTGAATTATACGAAGACGCATTGTTCCAATTCCCATTTGCTGCTGTTGTTTTCTCATCTCTATCTTCTAGTCTCAATCACTTCTTCTCACTAATTTTTACATTACCCACTAGTTTCCATCCCATCTGTATCATGAGCCCTGGAGAAATTTTACAGTCTAATAAAATATTATCATAATATATTTAAAATAGAAATAAAACAGTTCTGATTGATTCAATAACCTACTTTAATTTGTTCTTAATCTTAGATGACATTTTCTTTCAAAGGTTACTTGATAAATCACTCTGGATTTTTTATTTCACATTTCAAAATTTTACCATATTCAAATAGCATTTCTGGTTAACATGTTTTTCCTTTAATGTTTCATTTATTTCTTTTCAAACGAAAGGGGAATATTTTTTCTTCGCTTGAATTGAAACCATGGAGACTATTAATATACATTTTGTTATTTTCCCTGAGGCCCTTTAAATTTCAGGCAAGCATTCCCTTTAAATGTTTTTTAATCTTAATTTAATCCATTGTTATTATTAATTTTGATCAGGCTTAGTGTTTTTGAAATGCCTGATACTTGATATTTAGTGTTTTTACAGCAGTTCGTGTGTTCCAAAGTACATTGTTAACAAATGGTTTGGTGGGTTAAGGATAATTCATTTTCAAAACATAGGAAATAAGTAGAGATTCATATTTGTACTCTGTGAGGGAGGAATTCTTTTGCCCATGTAGTCTCATACTTATATTCTTGAAACTTCTCGCATTGAAACCTCAGGCTGAGATATTGCAGTGAACTCAACCATTATAGTATAAATGGTGGGAGATGTAGTAACATTTGAAAACATCTGCCAAGTGTGAAGTGGCCAGATTTCATCTGATCAGCAGTCCAGAGATGACAATCTCATCTCCATGTAGCGAATCAGGAATTCTGTACATTTTTAAACATAAAAAATGAAGCAGAAAGGAAAACATGTTTTTTTTTTGGAAAATAACTGAAGGTAAAAGAATGTTTTATTTCTTACTTCCAAGAGGCACCAAGATCCTAGAATGAATAACTTGTATTTTTATACAATTTGTTGAACTTGTTAATATCTTGATACTTTGTGAGGATGTTTATACATTTTAATTACCGTTGTACGACTTGTTCTTGGAATTTATCCATTTTACTAACAATGCTAATATGTTTCTTCAGTTTACATTTGCATAGTGCCTAAGTCAAATATCTCAAGATGCTTGATAGTAATGTTATCAAATTAATGTGGGCACCAAGCCACATAGGGAGGTATTAGGGCTGGTGACTACAAGAATGGCCAAAAGAAAATATATTAAGGATCTCTTTAAAAGACGAGAGAGAGGTAGAGAGTTGGAGATTTAGGATAGGATTTCCAAAGCTTAGCACCAGCATAGTTGAAGGTATGGCAGCGAATGAAGGAACAATGCAAGTTGGAATGTAGCTTGAAGCAGATTTGTGCAAATGAGGAAATAGATTAATACAAGAAATTTGGACCATTGTTAGTTCATCTTTAAACTTTAAGCAATCCAACTAATGAGCATCAAAGAAATGGAACTGACTTAAGCTCTGATGTGGCACTGACAAGTGGAAAGTGTTCCTTGCTTAGGCAGAATGCTCATGCAGGCTGCATAATGGCCTCAATGCATTCTAGTCCAATCTTTTAGAAATTTTACAATTAAATTCTTCTTAAAAAATGTGGATTTTTTTGACAGATTATTCCGTTTAGCAAATCTCCAGTCCCTGAATGTTGCCTATAACAAGATTTCTGTTATTTCCAATGACATTAAGAACCTAAGGTTAGTAATGATTTTTGTCTCATTTATTATTTGATTTATTTGTTGTCAAATGTATCTTGTTACAAAATACAGTGAAAGTGTCGTACTGTATAGTGTGGCTACTCTCTGGTGCCATCTTAAAACACAAAAAAAAACAAAATATAGAACATAAAGGCAAAAAAATGAAGAAATAAACAAAGAACAAAAAGAATGAAGAACAAAGAAAATTACAGCACAGGAACAGGCCCTTCGGCCCTCCAAGCCTGCGCCAATCCAGATCCTCTATCTAAACCTGTCGCCTATTTTCCAAGAATCTGTATCCCTCTGCTCCCTGCCCATTCACGTATCTGTCTAGATACAACTTAAATGATGCTATCGTGCCCACCTCTACCACCTCCGCTGGCAATGCATTGCAGGCACCCACCACCCTCTACGTAAAGAACTTTCCACGCACATCTCCCTTAAACTTTTCCCCTCTCACCTTGAAATCGTGACCCCTAGTAATTGAGTCCCCCACTCTGGGAAAAAGCTTCTTGCTATCCACCCTGTCTATACCTCTCATGATTTTGTCGACCTCAATCAGGTCCCCCCTCAACCTCCGTCTTTCTAATGTAAATAATCCTAATCTACTCAACCTCTCTTCATAGCTAGCGCCCTCCATACCAGACAACCTCCTCTGCACCCTCTCCAAAGCATCCACATCCTTTTGGTAATGTGGCGACCAGAACTGTACGCAGTATTCCAAATGTGGTCGAACCAGAGTCCTATACAACTGTAACATGACCTGCCAACTCTTGTACTCAGTACCCCGTCCGATGAATGAAAGCATGCCGTGTGCCTTCTTGACCACACAACTTTACAGTTGGTTTTGTTAAGTGCTCCATCATGGGCTTGATGCCCAGGCATGAATTCCCTTTGTTGTACCGCCACCGCTGGAATGAAAGTCATCACTCCTTCGGCGACATCTCCCCTCCACTGACGCCCTCGCCAGTAGGAGTCCTCATTTGCCCTCACCAATGCAGACACCACCAATGCTGCTGAGTACCGAACCAGCCAACCTCAACTCTGCCGCTGCCATGGGTCCACTTCAGGCCCATCACGCTGACGCAGCTGCTGCTGATGCCGCTGGGTTTCATACTGGGCCCAAACTTGCCTCTGCCGCCACCTGCATGAATCTGTGCTAGATGCAGATGCCACTGGGAACCGAAATTCTCCTCTGCAGCAGCTACGAGTTGGCTCCAGGACAGCCAAGAACCCAATCTCATCTCTGATAACGCCACGACAAATCCGTGCCGCTGAGCCTATTTGCTGCCTTCAATGCCATTGCTGCAACCGAGCCTTCACCAAAAGGTAATAGAACATGGAACAGTACAGCACAGTACAGGCCCTTCGGCCCATTCTGTTGTGCCGAACTTTTACCCTAATCCTAAATTCTATCTAACCTCCACCCCTACCTTATACTATCATCCATATGCCTGTCTAATAGCTGCTTAAATGCCCCTAATGAAGCCGACTCCACTACCCTCTCCGGCAATGCATTCCACGCCTAAGTAAAATAAAATAGAAGAGAAAAAAAAGAGAACAGAGGGAAAAAAAAAAGAAATTGAAAGAAAAGTGGACGGAGGGGAGGAGCCCTGGGCTCAGAAGCCCTACTCTACCACCACCTTACCAGAAGATGTAAGATGGTATAACAATATTGAGATAAATACAATTTACATAGCACCTTTTACCAATGTAGTATTTTCAATGGTGCATCAATGCAAGTTTGCTTTCAGTGAAATACCTGATTCTGAATTATTTTTAAAACTATTGAGCAGTTCAATTACAGATACATAAAGGATTTGGACTCAAGAACCAGAAGTACAATTTCAAAAGTTGCAGATCATCCCAAATTTGTAGTTAATATAGAGGAAAGTTTTATTGATTTCTGTTTAGATAAATGTGGCAGTGCATTTTGATCAGAGGGAAAGCGGGCAAATATTTCCTGCAAAACAAGTGTAAATAGAGAAGAGAGGACCAAAGGGACCTAGGGAGCAAGTTCACAAATTATTAAAATGTAATGCAGGTTAACAAATTTATGGAAAAGATAATTTAAGCACAGAAGTTCATTTCTAGAGGAAATGTGGCAAAGTTGTATTAAACTTATTCACAACCTTGGGATATAACAGAAGATGCAAAAAAAGTACAAGGATTATATCAGATTCGAAAAGCAGTAACCATCAAAAAAGACTGAAACTGGTAGTAATTTTCTGTACAAAAGAGAAGAGTAATAAGTGACCTAATAGAGATCTTTAAAATTATGGAGTGGTGTGATAGAGAGAATAGAGAAAATGTTTCAGCCTTTTGGGGAATGCAGAATTATTGGCCGTAAATATAAAGTCAGTGAAGAATTTAAAAGAAACATCTTTACCCAGAGAGTATTAACCACAGCATAGAAACCTAGAATGACGTAGTAAAAATGAGGCCACTCAGACAATTGTGCCTCTGTCAATTCATTAGTAAAGCTGCCCAATTAATACCACTCACTTACTCTTACCTTGAAGCCTTTCATTTTTCTATTTAACCATGTCCTGTTTTGAATGTATTTAATCAGTTCTGCCACTTTTTCAGACAATGCATTTCAGATTACAATGGGCTGAATCTTACCAAAAATTGGTATTCATTTTAGGCAAATTTCATGGAGGGTTTCTGTCCGCAAACCCTATCGCAAATTTTCTCAAACAATCACCCCAAACACACAACATTAACCATACACCACATCCCTATGGCAACCCCACTTGCCTTGTTCTTCCACTCACCATTTGCAAGTGCTGAGACATTGCGGAATTCCTGGTGCCAACGTCACATTTGAAAGGCTGTCGTGCACCTAGTCAAGCATGGTCTGGAGCTGCCCTCCACAGATTTTGTGAATAGTTCCAGGGATGGCAGATAAGGGTCAGTTAGCACCTCACTTTGCAGACAGGGACTTGGATGTCCTGGCAGATGGGGTAATGCAGAAGAAGACCATCCTGTTCTCACAGGGCTGGCAGTGGAGGCCTTTACACCAGACCCTGCCATTCTGGTCTGAGGTCAGCATCCGGGTCAGTGCAATCTCAATGAACTCGAGAAGCACCCAGCAATGCAGGAAGAAAGTCAATGACCTTTTTCACTTCACCAAAGTAATTGCTGCCATTTTCTTTCTGCTACCTCACACTCATTCTGTATCTGCCACTGAAGGCTCGTGGTCTACCATTCTCTCTATTACATGAAACATCTTCCCTCACTCGCTCTCACCCATCCCAACACCTCCAAATTACTATTCCTACATGCTCTCTGCACTGCCTACTCACGCACTCTGGGCACCTCACCACTTTTACCCATCTGCTCCAGCACTGTGCCACCAATTTTTGTCTCACTTAATACCTTCCTTTCACTCATCCCAGGACCAAACGTCCCATAATAAGGACTGAAAAAGCTAAGGTGGTTGGTGAGGCAACTGGTATTCAGCTCCTATGAAGAGTGGATCTTGGCCCTTGTAGTGAGGACCAAGACTGGTTCTATGAAGATGCCAAAACAGCCATGACCCAGTAACCAAGTAAGAAGCATTGTTCATTGCATTAATTCCCCTGTGAATGTATTCTTAACATTGCCAAACTTCTACCCTTTCTTCACAATGCATTCCTGTTTTTGTCTCTTGCGGGCACATGGCATCAGCACAGTTTCTGTGGCCAATTGCCTGGCGCCCCAAGACAAAATTCCTCCACCTCTGAGGAAGAGAGTACAGATGCCTCAGAGGATGCACCAACAAGATTACTTCCTGAAACCTCCACCAGCTCAGAAACTGACACCTTGGTGAGAATGTTAGCTGGAATTGAACACATTACATAGGAAGAAATGTCCCAGGTCGTTGGCACATGGAGGACTGAGGCTTGGCCTCAGGCAGGAGAGGACCCTGTGATGTTGGCCATTCATGACTTAAGCAGGCAAGTTTGTTGGACAACCTGAAACAATGGTTACACGACTGCATCAGCGCCATTGGAATAAGGCAGTAAGGTTCTGACAGCCTCCATGGATAGGTTGATGGCTGCCATGGAGAGCCAGGAGCAGCACTCGCACAGTTTGCTGGATATGTGTACAGAGCTGCACTCCATCTCTCTAGCCATTGGTGCAAAGCATCATTGGCAAGGCAACAGGGGACAAGGGTCCTAAACATCATGCCAGGTGTCCCTTCCTCACAAGGGAACAGGGTGATGCCAGTATGGAACCAGTTAAAGGAGGAAACTCCATATGGGAACCCCAGAAGTCTCCTGTCAGGGCATTCCAGAGGTGGCTGGGTCTTTGAGGTCTACCCTGCCTACTACTGTTAGTCCTGTGGGAGCTCAAGCCAAGGAATGTGAAGCTCCATCTGGACAGAACAAACTCGGTGTTTGAGACCCAAAACCCCTGGAGTCACCTGATCAAATCTTTAAGGCCAGTGGGCTCCGCTGTAGAGCAGGCTCCCTCGACCCCAACTGCAGACCCTGGGACTTATATACTTTAGCACATTTATGTTTACTTTCCATTCTTGGCAGTGTGAATGAATGTATGTCTGGTGTTAATTACAAGGACAGAGCCTAGGCATCCTTGGTCCTGGTGTAGTTCTGTAGTCCATGGTGAGATGTGGGCAGCTCCTGCAGCATGTGTGTGCCATGATAACTCATTCTTGCTAATTTGGCCACCAAAGGTGAAACCTGCCACACCACAATACATGATGTATGCATCAGTCATGACGAACATTAATTCCTGATGCTGAACGATGTGGTCAAGAGTGCTTGGAGCCAGGATTTGGTCTCCACATGTTGCTTAATGCCTAAGATGCATATCGCAAGTATAGCTGGCAAGTGTCTTTCAGCTGTACTGTATGTCTTTGTAATGATGTTACCCTTTTGAAGGGATCCAAATCACTTCACCTCCCTCGCAGAATAAAACTCCTGTCCCACCCACCCTCCACTTGTTATTTACAGCATGATGGCAGACAAGAGTGGTCACTTCTCACACAGTGAATCTTAGGCTCAGCCTCTTACTGTTCGTGAATTCGAGTATTGACATTCCCTTCTTGGTAGCCCTCCCCATCGACCCCATTGGGTTTCCCACATTTCACCCAACCTGTCTATCTAAATCTTGATCTCCCCACTTCATAGAATCAGGCAGTACAGAAGAAGTCCTTTGAGTCTGCACTGACAAAAAAAAACTCTTAATTGACACTAGTCCCACTTTCCAGCACTAGGCCCATAGTGTTGAATGTTGTGATATTTCAAATACTCATCCAAGTAGAAATTTAAGGTTGCAAGGTTTTCTGCCTTAAGGACTCTTCCCAGGTAGTGCATTCCAAATTCCCACCACCCTCTGGGCTTTAAAAAAAAGTTTTCCTCAAATCCTATCTAAACCTCCTGCCTTTCACATTAAACTTACGCCCCTTTGTTATTGACACTTCAACTAAGGGGAACATGTTGGGTAGTACCTCTGGTTTCTATTCGGTGGCTGAGAGAATGGGAAATTATATACCAGTGAGGCAACATGATGTCACAATCAGAATATTAATGCATGCAAATAGGTCTCTCACCACTCACTTGTGAGAATTTTGTCCCACCATTCAACATTCCGCTGGAAAATGGGACTTTGCTCTCGACGTAGAGGACTTGGCATGTGAACATATGGTTCTCCCAGTTTTCTCCATTGCTGACTGAACAAAACAACCAAAGAACCACAGATGCTGAAATCAGAAACAAAATCAGGAATTGCTGGGAAAACTCAGCAGATCTGGCAGCATCTGTGGAAAGAAAGCAATTAACGTTTCAGGTCCAGTGACCCTTCTTTTTGTTTTTCATTGCCCACATTGTTCAGAAACTGGGAAAATTCCACCCATAAGATCCATCAAAGACCCAGTATATATTCTTCCATGGACTTATCATAAATCTTATTAAATCTATCAAATATTGACAATGCCTTGTAAACTCGGAACAAATCATCCTTTTTGCAACCTCCATTCATGAATTGTATTAGAAACTGTAGGTCCTCTTTAGTGTCCAGATCAGTCATATCCAGTTCAGAAAATACCTTATTTACTCCTTCATAGTAAGGGTAATGCCAAATCCCTACCTGGCTTCTTCTTGGCTGGAGAAGTGTCCTGAGTCCACATCTCCACCTCATTCTTCCATTGCTTGCATAGCTCCAATTCTGAAAACACTGGCCGATAATCATAATTCATGATCCTGCAGCATAATTCAGCCATTTTACTTCAAAAATACGCAAGAAGCTTTGCTTTTGTCAGAGACAGGAATTATGTTTTCTTTACCTTCCTACCTGAAGAATTCCTTCTTTATTTTTCCCAACCTTTTTGATTTTTGTTATTATTTCACCGCCTCTGGTGGTTAGCGATTGTTATTAGGTCAGTTAGGTGAACGGGCAGTTTGGTGGTGGATTTCTAAAATAATAATGAAAGCTGGTTTCATGTAACACTTGTGCTCGAGTGTCTTTATAGAGAGAGCACATGGTGTCTACGGTTACCCTTGAAGCTTTTCTGGATATTTCGGCATCACGGGGACTGGGATTCATCATCACCCCCTCCAACACAAAAATAATTTAGTGCCCCCCCCCCAATTAGTTTCTCCCTTTATTGATTTTTTTGTTATTTCGACACTGCTCCCAGTGGTCAGTTTTTGTTGTTTTTGATATGAAAGAAGGAGGTTAGTTCCTTGGTACCCTTGAAGCTTTTTGGGATAGGTGGGGTCCACAGATGCATCATTTGCCTTTCCTACACCATTTGATTTAGTACCTTTTAGTTTCTCCCTTTATGCCTAGTGGGGTAATGACACCTCTGTATAATTCTTTGATCCTATCAAAATAGGCTTTGTCTTTGACCCCTCAACTACATCAAATGCTATAATGGGTAGCATTGATCACTACTTCAGCCCAATCTCCATGTTTTCCCTTCCCAATGTATCCTGAACACATTTTTGCCAGAAATATTAAGTTCTTAATCTTCTGTGCCTTTGAACCAAAAATTTGTTATTGCTATTAATATAGCCCCAGATCACAAAGTGTGCAAACTTTTTTAACTTTGCTATGCGCGTTTGTGTGTGTACTCTAAAGTAATGTCAGATCGGCTTGTATGATGTGGCCAAGGTAGGTAGCATAGATCCATTTAAGTTGTATGTGAAAGAGAAAACGGAAATGCTGATAAGATTAAATGAAGATTGGAGGAGCATGTGTAGGAGCAAAAAGACCAATAAAACCAGCTGATCTGAATGGTCCAGTTTTGTCTGTAAACTCTGCACATTTTTGTGACTTGGCTTTCTGTTTCTAGAATCTAAGGGTGATGTAAAAGCTATTTTCCTTTATATCTTTATCTTGTAGTAAATTCAATGACATAAAGAAACGTCAGCTTATTTTCTGCACTTAAACAATTAATTCTCATTGCGCAGTATTTTCAACGAAATATTTATTTTTCATGTTTTTGTGAGGTAATTGAACTTGTTATTTATTTGAAAGCAGTGAATTTACACTTCTGTAATATCTTCTATATATTAATGTTAACAAGTAACTTTAACAATAATCTCGTCATGAAAATAGAGCATACATTTTAATAATTGACTTTTGTGTAAAACTCCTGTTATTCCAGAAAACTTCAGTTTTTAAACATTGCAGGAAATGAGCTGACAACATTGCCAAATGACCTCCTTCAACTCAAGTTAAAGCAATTGCGTTTGGAGAATAATTATATACATCCTATGTTCTGGGAAGAAAATGCTCGGAACCAACCACAACGACTGACTGACCTAGCTGCTGTTACTTTCTCCAAGGGCCACTTAATTCAGCAGTACACAAACATTCCTAAAGAGGTACAAGATATACTTAACAAGTAAGTAGATCAGTTTACATCAGTTTCAGGTAATGGGTTCAGTTTTCACTTACAGTTTACAGTTCTAGCGCTAATCCTTTCATAAGGCTGCTTGATACACAGGTCAATGGTGCCTTTTATTATTCAGGCTTCTCCAGTTATATTTTCTCATGTCCAATGTAGAATTCAATACCCATCGACAAACCCAGGCTCAACTTTTGAACTGGAGCTAGACTGTGGTACAGAATAATCTGGGATAGTATTTCATAGACAAATGATAAATTGGTTTACTGTCATGTAATATCTATATTACTTCTGATAATGAAGTTACCCGCAGACACTCTGATACAAACTAAACTCCCAAAAAGGTTAATTTACAGAGAGCCATTTGCAGCAAAAAGCAGTAACAGGCAATCTAGCTTTGACACAGCTTACAAAAGAGGTATCTAGACGAACCAATCGGTTAAATTTCTTTTGAATGGCTTTTCTTGAGATTTTCGTCAAAAGACAGACATTCTAGAAAGTAGAATCGCTATCTAATTCCTACTAATTCCGCATTTTGTCAAAATGACACGAGAATTCCGACACAATCACATCTTGATTCCCTCCCTGGCTGTATCACCCTCTCCATCTTTTGTGATTCAAAACCATGGGGTCAGTAGTTAGTATATTAAAAGTGCCTGTGTTTTTTTAAACACACACTGAAACTCCTATCTTTTATGTAAATCCTTTCTTACAATGTAATTCAAGACAAATTTCTATATGTAATAGTGTTTCATCAAGAGTGTCTTGCATGCATATTTGCAGTTGAAAATTAACAAGTATTTCAGCTGCCATTTATACCTGATGCTTCAGCTGCCACGATTCAAATTTTGAAAGGAAACATTATGTGCTGTTAATACTCAGCAGGTCAGGCAGCATCTTTAGAGAGAAATAGAGTTAAGATGTTAGATATTAGCCTGGCTGAAATCCTGCTGCACTTTAAAGGATGGTGACCCAAAATGTTGTTATTTAAAAGTGGTGCATCTGTGTATAATGTACTTATTGATGAATGAGGCTGAGGGGAATGGGTGAGAATTTCTGGTCAAATCACCCCAACCACAGGACTGGACCTTTCAGCTGGGTTAAGATCTTGAAGTGGCCTCAGTCCTGGGTTAGGAACCTCGGGTGTGGTTGTGGCAGGATGTCAGTCACTGATCCCAGTGCTGCCCCACCAGTGGACAGGCCAAGTAAAAGGGTATGCATGTTTTCCTTCTGGCAGCCCATCATGAGAGGTGATGTGAAACATCTCAATATGGAGGCAAGCACTTGAGTTATGAAATTGTACACAAAAAGGTCTAGTTATTTTGTCAGGCTATCATTGTGGAGACAGGGCCCTCTGCAGGATAACCTGCTGCTGAAGGTGCAGCTCAATGACCCTTCCAACTTGAGAAGAGAGCGTTATTTAAAGAAGGCAAGTTACCTATCATGGAATAGGCATAAAGGGTGACAAAAAATGACGAATGGAGTGCCACAGGGATCAGTGCTGGGCTTCAACCTTTTACAATCTACATCGATGACTTGGATGAAGGGACCGAATATATTCTTGCTAAATTTCATGATGGCTTAAAGATAGGCCAGAAAGTAAGTTGTGAAAAGGACTGACGTATATTAAGTGAACGGGGAAAATTTTGCGATGGAATATAACTGAGGAAAATGTGAACTCATCCACTTTGGCAGGAAGAACAGAAAATCAGTATCTTATTTAAATGGAAAGAGATTGTAGAACTCTGCCAGAGTTTCTAGATGTGCTGGTACATGAGTCACATAAAGTTCGTTTACATACATAATGGGCAAGTGATTAGGTAGGCAAATTGAACATTTTTGTTTATTGTAAGGAGAATGGAATATAACAGTTTGGATGCTTTGCAACAGTTGTGCAGGGCATTGATGAGACCACATCTGGATTACTGTGTTCAGTTTTAGCTTCCATTGTTTTTTAAGAAAGTATATAAATATGTTAGGAGCAGTTCTGAGAATGTTCACTCAACTGATATGTGAGATGGGGCCAGAAGGGCAGGGGTTTGGCTATCCTGTAAAGAAAGGTTGGACAGGCCAGGCATGTATCTGTCAGAGTTTAGAAGAATGATAAATGACCTTATAGAAACGTTTATGATCCTGAGAGATCTTGACAGGATGGATTCTAAAAGGAAGTTTCTGTTGTGGAAGAGTTTAGAGCTAGGGGTGACAGTTTAAAAATAGGGGCTATTCTGTTTAAGACAAAGATTTTCTTTCTTTCAGAGGATTATTACTCTTTGGAACTCTCCTCCCCGGAGAACAGTGGAGGTAGAGTCATTAAATATGTTTAAGGTAGCGGTAAATAAATTCTTGACTAACAAGGAAGTGAAAGGTTATTGGTAGCAGGCAGAAAAATGGAGCAAAATTAGACAAACCATTACCTTATTGAATGGCTGAGACAAGCTAAAGTGATCAAGTGACCCCGTTCCTGTTCCTGATTTGAATGTTCACATCAGGCATCAATGGCCTCCCAAGAAGCTGTCTCGAGGCAGCCAGTGGCCTTCTGCCACAATGGAGCATCCATCTGCTAATAGAAGAATTCCACCATGTGACCACCTTGCAGATCTGAGCTCTGCAGTCCTGCTACAATATCCCCATCCTCATTGATGGCGAGCCCAGCACACCAGTGCAAAAGCCAAAACTGAGGCATTCGCAACAATCTTTAGCCAAAAGTGCCGAATGGATGATCCATCTTGGTCTGCTTGTTTAGGAATTAATAATTAGGTTTTTGAATGTGAATTTTATTTTGAAAACATTTTGCATTTTAAACTTAAACCATCCTTATTAGCAAATAGTCAAATTCTTGAACTGGAAATTTCTGGTAAACTTTGGGAAGATCCCTTTAATACGCAATCCGAATTGTCTGGAAAAACTATGTTCTATCTTCTGTGTAGTATATGTAGCCATGTCAGCTGAGGCTCAGTTTCTAGCAGCCCTTTATTTTGTTGTTTGTGAGAGCTTCTTGTGTACAAATTGGCTGCCATTTTTCCAACATTACAAAAGTGAACACATTTCAAAAATATCTCTTTGACTGTAAAGTACTTTGGAGCATTCAGAGGTCATGAAAGTTGTTATACAAGTGCAAACCTGTCTTTTTAACTGTAGGTTTAGATCACCCCAACCAAGATTGTATTTAAGTATAAAACTTCTTAATCTACTCCAGACGCTTACCTGCTGTGTGGAAATCATACAAGAGAGATTCCATTCCTGTGCCTGCTATCTGCCAAATCTTTGTTCCTGTAACAGAAGGGTCTATTTATGTTATCTAACCTGCTCTCAATTACTTGTGTGCGCCCTGTGACTAATTCAGCAGTGCATCCTCAGACATGACCTAAGGCTGAAATTTCACCTCAGGCCATCCCTATTTTAATGTCCTCCATATTGTGGAGTCGGCAGTGCTGGAAGAGTGGTTTGATCAGCTCCTAACCGGGTAGTTATGGACCCTATTTCATGGTAGTGATGCCCAATGCTGACTCTAGGTGTACAACATAGGAAATTTCCAGTCAGCAGTGCAGACATCCCTTTCCTTGTATATTAACACCAAGTTCATAAAATAAAGAGTGGTACTCATTGAACGGGGTGCTTCATCAGTTTCTTTGGTAGTCTTTAAGACGCATTTTTGGAAATGTTTTCTTTGATTAAGATTGTATTTGTTTAATTGTTAATAAATATGAAAAATTGGCATTCGATCTTGGAAAACATCGAATGCATTACTGTTTAAAATAGTTCCAGTATGCTCTCTATCATTGTTTCTAAATCACGTAGCTCACTGACAAAAATGTGGAAAAAAACTAGCACAAAAAGGTTGATTGAAAGGTGCAACTTAACATAGAACGTATTGTGAAATGCACAGCACAGCTGCAGAATTATGCAGACAACTCTAATTAATAAAACATTCTTTTTTCCACAGAAAAAATGTGTTGAAACATTTATTGAGTTAAAGAGGGGAAGTTGAGGAATAAATCCTGTTACTTCTCATGATGCTGTCATCCACATGAAAGAAAAAGAGTTTTGTGTCAATTTATATGTGCATTTCATCTAACACTTATTTTTAAATTTTGTATGACAGTGCAACTACGTGTGAGTGCTGCAGAGGACCTTTGTTTGGCCCAGGACTTAAACTGATCAAGCCACGTAAGACAGTCTTTCACAGTGAAAGCCTCCCGTTCCTGTGTCATGCCTGTTCACCATCTTGCTATAAATGGTTCACATCCAAGACTGGCTGAATATATTCTTCACTAAGCTTTGGCCTACTGGAAAAAGAAGTTAATGAGGACCATGTTCAATTTGATATGGGAGCCTTTATGAACTCCTGGTAAACACTTCATTTCAGCAACTGTAAACATTGTTCAGTGTTCGTACCTTAAGCGGTCATAAAGAATTTACTGTGCACACTTGTAAGCAAATTAATTCAACAGTATGAGTAATTATTTAAATTCAGCAACACACTGTTTTAAAGTGTTGACCTAATTTGAGTTGCTGTCAACTCATGAAAACTCATGTGGCTTAGCTGCTTAATGAGGTTTTTAAAAGGGGATCCACATTTTAAAATGTTAAAATACAAATCTTGATTTTAGATGCAAACACACTCACAGTTGCCTCCTTCAAACTGACAATCTTCAAAACAATTGTACTATTGCTTTTACAAACTATTCGTAGCACACTTAATATTTGAAAATACTTAACAAAATTCCCAACTCTTACCTCTTTGTATAATAAGCACCACACTACTCCAGTGTTGGTCCTTAACACAAAAAAGTGATAAGGATTGAACATTTGTTTTGGTGTAGAAAACAGGTGGTTGAGGACAGGATAAGTCTGCAAGGCTTTGACGAGTGGAATTGTGCAACCATTGGTTTGACTTTCCAACTGTTCGTAATTCTCATAATAACATAGACGGTTGCTTAGAATGTTGGTTCAGTTAGGCACTAAAAATAGTGCAGTTGCGTACACTTTTAGTCACAATTCAAGCATTATGCTCTGGAGTGAGACTGTCTGTTGAATAAATAGCTCAAATTTCATGATAGTAAAGCAGCAACAAGCATCCTGAATTTAGAAGTAATGAAGAAAATGTAACAATATCAGAAACTGAACTATTTAAGTAATTTCAGAAACTTTAGTTCATCCAGTTTTCTTGTCACAAACTCAAATATTTTTGAGCTGAATGAAATTTTCTAATTTAAACATTAAAAATCACTTATTTCCTGCATGATTAACATTACCTCTGAAATTATTTTGTATCCTCTATTAATTTTTTGCTCAGAGGTTTGAGCTTCATTTGAAAGCCTAGGGTTGGAATTGATATCCTTTCCCGAGCTATCAAATTGTCAACTGAATGCAGTTAATAACTGCCTACAATTTCTATGTAGACACAGTCTGATGATGGTAGTGTGTCCAGAACCCCTCAACATCTGTCATTATGAATCATGTAGTGTTGCTAGAAACATGAATTCTGTTGGTTATGGCAGTATTATATCAAATTATTTCTAAACAAATCAAGCATTAATTTCACTAGCTTCTTGCGATAAAGTTTGAAAGGTTGAGGAAAATCTAATTAAAGTGCTTAACTTGTTACTTCAGAGATGCCGTTGAGAAAAACAAATAAAAGTACAACAGATTACTGACCTGTGTTTCTGTTTATACTGAAAATTTTAAAAACTGTCTTCACTTTGTCCTAGTGACAAATTCAAGATGTGTCTGGCCTGAGGTTATAATAGTATTCATTTGGTTTGTTTATCCAAATGAAGAAAGCAAAATGTTTTAGAATTTTTTTTCTTCCTGTAGTAATTTATCAAGTGTGTCTTTACTTCAGAGAGAGGCTGCCTTGGAAATACAAAGGATTGATTATAGTATGAATGTCTTTTGTGTTTATAATGAAAGTTTGTAAAAAGAGTGATTTTGTTATCCAGAAAGATTGACGCAGTTGTACTAACCATTTAACCAGCTGGAGTTGTCACAGGAAATGCATTATTTAATTTCCAGGAATCAATCAAAAAATACTTGTTTCACAGCACCCAGTCAGGTTTTAGGCATCTCTTTATATGTGGAGCTATATACTTCTTCACCATATTCGAGGCCCCTTAGAGAGACATAGCACTTGCTGACCTTGAATCAGGTTATGAGAAATTTGCCTTGAAATTACACATATAAAAAATACAGTCTGCAGACATCATGCTTTGTTGCAGATGCAAAAAAAATTTAAAGTATCGGATGCTTTTGTGATGCAGCTGATGTGCACATTTCAGCTGCAAAATTCCTTGACTGTAAACCCATTAGGTGCTGATTTGAAATATTGCAAATATTATTGCATTTATCTTAGTTGACACCGCAGTTTCATCTAGGGCTAACATTTCGCATTTCATTTATTTAGTTTGAATGAATACAGTGATTTCACTGAGATGAATCATAAAATAATTTGTAAATCAAAGAAGGACTTTTCCTGGGCTACCTTTACTATTGCAGCTAGTTCTCATCTTGCGGTTCCTTATATTCCTGTCACGTTGTCAGATTTCACTTTAACATTCCCTGTTTTTCCTAATAATCTTTTATGTTTCATCACTTCACTGCTGCCATGTCCATTAGTTTGGCCCCAACTTTCTCCTGTCTGTAATTAATTGCCCCTGACGAATCAGTTAATAGATTTAGCATCTTTATGTTTCACTTGCAAGGGGAGAACTGGAGAAGGAAATTTTACCAGTTGATCAATAATAAAACTTATGTTTCTTTATGCTGCTAATTCTCTGTATCCCAATACAATTGTTTTTTTGTCATAATAGTTGTCTCAATAGTGTCAACAGATAGCATTCACAAACCAGCACATTACAGAACAAAAAGTGTTAATTATTAAATATTTTAACAACAATGAAATGAAACATTACTCAACGTAAAGCATGAATACACAGTACACTATATGTATTGAATGTATTAAATAATTTAGGTTAACTTTTGAACTAAATTGGCATGCAAAATTGAATGGAAAAATATTGAATGAGTTGTCAGTTCATATCGCTTCTGGACAAGATTAACTGCAGTGCAAGCTTTTTATATGATACGTTACATGGACCAGGAAGTCGACAGATGGCGAGATATTATGTAATTCCAACAGGAAATTCATACAAATTCATCAGGAGACTGACACAAGTAAATGTAAATTCTATTTTTGTAAGCTAATTCCATCATGTCTCAAACTCAGCAGATGTTTCAATATATTATTTTAATGTGTATGATTTAATCTTGCTGAATTTGAAAAAAAATGCCATTTGTGACATCGTTCAATGTGCATGTTTGGCAGAATACATGCAGAAATAGGATAGAAATTTGTGTCATCCCATCTGTTATTATTTTCTGTGTGTTAGCCACACAATGAAAATTGAAATTCTGCTGGTAAATCACAATGACAGATTCTTTGCGAGTGAATGTTCTGGGAAGACTTATAATCTGTGGTAGTTGGCATAATTATTAGTGACTGAAGCAACTAATTCTTGATCTGGAGCTCCTGAACAAATGGGACACAAGAATTACTGCTTATGAATGGTTCTGTTATAACAGTCTACTGTAATTTACACCTTTCTTCAACAGAATTGCATCTGTTTCAAACTTGTAGGTTCCTTTCTTTGTTGTTGTGCACCACTGTCTCTGTCTTTAACTTCCTCCCGCCACATCCACTGGCCATTCCAGAAAAACCTGTCTTTTCTATATTTTTTGAAGCACTTGCAAGGTGCACCTCTGTCTCATTTTTGTTTTATATGTTCAAGGGATGTAGGTGTTGCTGTTGCCCTGGGGAAGGTAATTTTGAACTGTCTTCTTGAACCACTGCAGTCCTCGAGGCGTAGAGCCATCCACAGCACTGGAAGGAAGTGAACTCCAGGATTTTAACCCAAACATAAGTTCCACATCAGAATGGTGTGTGGTTTGGAGAGGAACTTGCAGGCAGTCAGTGCATTGAGTATAGGAGTTGGGATGTCATGTTGCGGCTATGTAGAACAGGTTAGACAACTTCTGGAATACTGCATTTATTTTTGGTCTTGTTATAGGAAAGATGTTGTCAAACATGAAAGAGTGCAGAAAAGATTTACAACAATGTTGCCGGGATTCGAGTGTTTGAGGTAGAGGCTGAATAGACTGGGGCTATTTTTCCTGGAGCATTGGAGGCTGAGGGGTGACCTTATAGAGGTTTATAAAATCATGAAGGGCATCGATAGGATGAATAGCCAAGGTATTTCCCCCTGGTTAGGGGAGTCCAAAACTAGAGGGCATAGGCGTAAGCTGAGAGGGGAAAGATATAAAAGGGACCTAAGGAGCACCTATTTCACAGAGCGTGATGTGTGTATGGAATGAGCTTCCAGGGGAAGTGCTAGAGGCTGGTACAAATACAACATTTAAAAGGCATTTGGATGGGTACATGAATAGAGAGGGTTTAGAGGGAAATGGGTCAAATGCTGGCAAATGGGACTAGATTAATTTAAGATATCTGGTCGCAATTGACAAATTGGATCGAAGGGCCTGTTTCCATACTGTACAACTCTATGAGTTATGTTTCCAAGCATCTGCTGCCCTCGTCCTTTGAAGTGGTAGAGGTCATGGATTTGGAAGGTGCTATCGAGTGAGCCTTGGTGAGTTACTGTAGAACATCTTGTTAATAGTAAACACTGCTTCCACTTGCATTGGTAGTGAAGGTGACTGAATCTTGAAGGTGATGAATGGATGTCAATAAAACAGGCTGCCTTGTCCTGGGTGATGTCAAGCTTCTTGAATGTTGTTGGAGCTGTACCCATCCAGGCAAGTGAAGAGTATTCCATCACATTCCTGATTTTTACCTTGTAGATGATGGACAGGCTTTGGGGAGACAAGAGATGAGTTACTCAACACAGAATCCCTACCCTGAGGAATTCCTACAGAGATGTCTGGGAGCCAAAATGATTGACCTCCAACAACGACAACTATCTTATTTTGTATTAAATATGATTCCAACTAATGGAGAGTTTTCCCCCTTACTCCCATTGCTTCCAGTTTTGATGGAACAACTTGATGCCATTTTGGTAAAATTCTGCCTTAGTGTCAAGGGCATCACTCTCTCCTCCATTTACTTAACAGAGTGGAGTTTGCAATGAAGCATTCTGGAATTCTCAATGCATGATAAACAGCCTGTCCAGCGTAAGTGGTAAGCAAATGCATTCATTGCTGAACAGATTGCTGTGTTGAGGACTTTGTTATTTGTGATCCTGTCATTGGCAGTTCATGATGTAAAGAGGAGCTTGGAAAGATAGTTGGAGTTGTGTGCAGGCCTCCAAACAGTAGCCAGGAGCTGGGGCACAAGATACACCAGGAGATAGAAAAGGTGTATAAGAAAGGCAAAGTCACAGTGATCATGGGGGATTTCAATATGCAGGTGG